TTCCATTCATCTACAGATAATATTAATGGTTAGATATTGCCATCAGAATACATATACAAATAGAATAATTGACCAGAGCATCAAGTATAAAAAGCTTACTTATAAGTAAATCAGCAAGTTTTTAAATAGATAACTTATACATTATCAAATTTGAAAATAAGTAAGTTAATATTATCAAAGTCAAAAATACGTAAGTTACTTATTTTGAGAGTAAGGTCAAAAATTAACTTTCAAAAAAAAAAACATGTTTTACTTAAAAAGTACAAAAAAGTAAGTTGTCTAAACTTGTTCGGAAATTAAAAAAGTCATTTCAAATTGTCTTCAATTTTGTTTTAAGCTTAGTTTGGTCAAACATGCTTCTAGGAGTTTAGCATCAAAGTAATATAACGAAAAGAATTGCAGCACCCAAATAAGCATGAAATGGAATGATAACTCAATAGCACTCGCGATGAATTGGTGAGAAATTTGCCAAAACATTTGCTCCCATAAGCAAGGTTACACTTATAAAATCTTATAGAATTCCCCATGATTTAATGAACATCTACAATCATAAACAAGATATACTACTTCACTTAACAAGCCTCAATAAATCAAGTAAAATTATCTCCAATTTCTCAATCCTAATGAAGATGAAGCATACAAACCAAAACCATTTACTGGTAGCCTCATGGGTGGCTTAATGACTCCAACACTGCAGTCGATTTCGTCACAACGAGAAAAAATCAATGAACAAATATGAAATGATTTCACAGGATTCAGACTACTACCTTCCTGGGTGCTCTATTACTTCAAAATTCATACTCTATTTACACAGTTTCCCCTCCACAAAGTTCATAAATGTTCTCTCCAAACAATAACTTAAAAATTATTCTTCTTGTTAACCCAATTTATCTAACAGATCAAGCTCTCATAGAGGATGCACATCTATTTATATAAATTTTGTTTCCAACAAACCCTTCATGTATAGGCCAGATTCATTTTTTTATCACAGTTGTGGCCTGTGCACTATTTTCATAAAAAGAGCCGGCTTGAACACAGGTGATTTCCCTGTACCATGTTGACCGACTGATCTAAAAGCTTAAGCTGCAAAAGAGGAGCGCATCTTTTTTATTTTTGTCTCCAACACCACTTTTAGCCTCATCTACTCATACTACGCTATTGGTAAAAAGAACAGACCATATTACTGTTGACTTACAGAAACGTCAGGACAATCTTTAAGTGATCACAAACTCAGTAGAATCATTTTTAGGACAACTGGTTATAGCTCTCTCGTACATATCCCTGATAACATCAATTTACCACCATCAAATGAAAGTATATTTGATGTTCAGCAAAGCCATATCCAACATCATCCAATCTAAATTAGACAGAAACCAAATTGTGAATTAATTTTTTCAAAAGAATGCTCTGCAGTTAAGAAAAAATCAGCAAATGGCTGGTGGACATTATATGGAAGTGCATTTAATGTTTTGCAAACAGTTCTCTGCAAAAAGATACCAAGCAACTTGAAACGGTGATTAAAACAAACTCCGTACCATCCATTAGCATCCTGCACAACTCTGCCGCCTCAACTTCAATTTCTTCTTCTGCTTGAGTTTGAAATGGGCGACGTCGCATTTTAAGTCCTTTGGCACCATCTGCACCATCATGCTTAGACTCATTATTACCTTCTTCACAGCATCTAGAAGATTTTCCAAATCTCTGGCAAAAGAATCCAAGTCGCTGTTTGCCTCTGATTCAGTCTCATTTTCTTAACTGTCAGCAGTATATAGACTTTGAACTTGCCGATCCCACATTTCCTGACATTTTTTCTCGTCCACTGCTGAAGCTGCAAGAAGGACATGTGTTCACGAAAATATATTTCGAATAAAACACACCGCAAGTGTATGGTTCATTAACAAATAATAAAGTGGACTTTTTGAGTCCAAGTATGGTCCCACAAGGATTGATTAGGTCCAATTCTAATTATCGTGACCTTAACCGAAACAATAAGAATGAGA